TAACTTAGTTAGATGGCCTAAATATCCATGGAGTTGATATTGTGTAACATCCCAACGTTTGCGTCTAGAAGTACCAAAAATAGCCTGAATTGGGTAGGCTACTAGACCCCTTTTGAGCAAAAGTCCCAAAGATGAGAAAGGAAGTCAAAACAGTTTTAGGGACTAAATTGCAAAGTAAAAGTTTTAATAGGCTAAAGTGTAATAAAAGTTAGAGGCTCCAGTAAAGTCTCGAATGCCCAAAGAGAGAAAAGAGGCTAGATACAGGCCAAAGGTTAAGATAGAAACCTCAAAGAGAGGATTGTATGAAATTAAGTACAAGCAGGGACTAAACCGTAAATTCAGAAAGTTATAACCAACAGGGGTAAAAATCGAAGAGTATACAGAGAATTCCAAAAAAATCTCAAAAAAATGGGAAATAATATTCTAAGGCTCTTCTGTGAAGAGAAAAGACAAAAATACCCTTGTGGTAGCTTAAATAGAATTTATAAGGTTATGGCCTGTAAAAAGTATACCATTTGAGGTCAATATTTGAAATAGTAAGAGACCTAAAAAATGTATACAAAAATGAGATTAAATGGTTGAAAGGTTATACTAATTTATAAAATTAGTCCCATAACCAAAAGACCAGCAAAGTGGCTTTAATAAATAAAAATCCTGTTATGCCGATAAAAGGGTATTTTAGTAAATGAATTTTTATGCAAGGCTTAAAGGAAGTGTTATGGCCTAAGAAAATTTATAGATGTTCTCTAGAATTAAAAAGAATTTATGGAGTAGATAGAAGGATTTTTTGAGCTCCGGGAGGTCATAAAGGAAGTCAAAGAAACGTGGGCTAAGTAAAATAAGAGGAAACTTAGGGAACAAGTTTTGATCCAATGGTTAGGATCTAATCTCCCTTCTCCCCCACCATATTTGTGACACTTGGTATCTTCTAGAAGAATGAGGTAAGGATGATGCAAGAAGATGATGCAATGATGATGTAAAAGTCAACTTAAAGTTCCAAGATTGCCCTTATTCTTTCTATTAGCCACCAAGGGCATTTTGGTCCATTCAAGCCAAAGTTTTGGCTATAAGTACCCCACCTTGGAAGAGCATTTTGGCAGCCATTTGTAGAAGAAAAACTCTGCCAAAATTTAGAGAGAAAAATGTAGGGGTCAAGGCCAAGAAGAAGGAACAAGATTCAAGCTTCAAGATCAAGGTATGTGATGGTTATAGCATCTGCCTTGATGCCTATTTCAAATAAGTTACTCTCTGTATCTGATTCTAAAATTTGGCATGATTAAAGTGCACTCTATAAGCTTTAAATCCATGGGTAGAACACTTTATTTGGATATGTGTATGATTTATGGTGATTTTTCAAAGTTAGAGTTTGGAATCTAGAAACAGTGTTTAACCTTTGGATGGGTGTCGAATTCCGTACAATTTCGGTACTATTCAGCATAGAATTGGTTCCTAAAACTATTTTTTCTTTAAAGAGAACTTAAGGAGATTTTAGTGAGACTTGGAACCACTCAGTTTTGATTTTTCTAGAATTAATTATGAATTTTCAAAGTTAAGCAAAAATTATGGAATTTTTGCATGAATAGTACCCGCGAAGCAAAATTTTCAGATTTGATCTTCTTGAATCTAAGGCCATCTAAAGTGGTCCTAATTGACAAGAAATGGATCTTAAGGATGGGAAATGATGAGATTTATGTTAGAAAAACTAGAAAAAAAATCCTAAAAGAAAGAGAAATGATTGAGGTTCAAGAAAGCTTGTCTTGAACATCATATAGTCTCTTGGTCCTAATAGATTGTGTGATCATTATGACTATGTTTAGGACCTTTGGAACATCCAAGAGGATGTTTGGTGATGTTAACCGAATGCCCACATAGTTGGAAAGTCAAGAGAGTCAAAGGAAAAGTAAGAGGAAAGCTTGAGGTGCAAGGTAGTGAACTTACCTATTATCATTGCCTGATGTTGTACGCTTGTGTGTTGGTGTGTACATGTTATTTAAATGTTATTGTGACATGTTTTAGCTGCTGTAATTGCTATTCATGATGAGCAAATTATGTCTCCATGGCCATGCATCAAGAAGTTAGCTTTGAGCATGCTAATATGGTATTGTTTGCTACTGAGATTCTCCCGAATCTCACCCCTCTCTAACCAGCCATTTAGGTCAATCAATGATAGGCAATAATGGCATGAGAAGCAAGGAGAAGAAAGTGGAGAATTGTTCATGTTAATGAATGATATTATTATTCAATATGTAATTCTCCTACGATGTAATTCATGTTATGTATGCCAAAGAAATAAAAAGAATTAAAGTAAAGAGATGTTAAGGGATAAAACATAGGTCCTGGAGCAGTGAGTTTGTAGCTCTAGTTTGATCTATCAAACAAATGAGTTAAGTCACGAGATTTGGTAGACTCATAGTACATATCAGATATGTTGTTTTTTTAATCAAATATTTATGGCTCTCCTTAATTAATAATGACATCTTAGTGAAGCTGGATACAAAAAATAAAGCATATCTTATTAACATCAAGAACAAATGCTGATCGAGAAACCATAAAAAAAGAAGAAGAAGATATTTGGCAATTATCCATTCTAATATTTCAAACACTTGAAAAACAAATATTAAAATTAGTAGTTACCTGGCAAAATGAGAGGGCATAAAAAGGTATGTAAATATTCTATAAAGATTGATCAGAAAGCAATCCAGAATTGGAAATTTGATCAATTGATTCAATTCTAAGAAGGAAGGAATTGAAGGGGTGAGAGAGATGGAGGAGGGTTTCTGAAATCCTTAGATCTAATCTTTCTCATGAAGAAAGAATTAATGGGATGTTCTGTTTTTGTTTGGCCTCAATTGTTCTATTTAATTTTTGTGGCATTTACTAATCGGTAATTTATAACCACAAGTTTATGAATAGAAAGAAAATATAAGGATTTGAGATTGCATATTTAAATGAACAAGAAGCAAAAATTACCTAGCACCAATGAACAAGAAGCAACCCTTTGACAACATGTTTCCAAACATGTACTCAGAATTAAAAGGACAATGCAAGAAAGATATCTGGCCTTCAATAATGTAAGAATTCCAACATCCTCACCCCCATCTCAGGCCCCCTTCGGGGGCAATCCTCAAATCTTTCACCTCTCACACATACCATATCCTAACACCTTCTCCCTACATAACATATAATTTCTACAGCCATCATGTACAAGCACAACCACACTTGCACTAGCTCCTAAATATATAGTGCTGGTTTGGAGTTAAAGCATCCACCCTATCTTGATGACGAGATAATCTTATCTATACTTTTCTACTAATGTTATTGACATTGACAATAAGAACGTGAAACTTCTAGAAAAGAAGTAGAAGTAGATTATCCTGGGTAATACACATGAAAGAACTAGCTGGGAACGAGTGGGTGCCTCGGTGGTATTACATACGGAAGCTACAACGTCTGCTATAGATTTGATAATTAGAAGGAAAACGAAAAAAGAGAAAGGGATTATCCTGTGATAGTGAAACATATTAGTTTAAGAATTTAATGGTTCAAGAGAAGGAAAGACGTCGGGTCAAATTTTCATTGTCTGGTGATGATCCAACTATTAGATTGTCTGCATTACCCATTTTTGCTCTATTCAAATTACTCAGCATTAGAGTGGCATGGAACAATAAGGGTTACAGTAAGCAACAAAAACAAATCCTATATACATAAATCTATTAAATGATTCATATCAAGTTCTAGATCTAAAACCCATTAAATTAATCAGACAAAAAGAGAGAGAGAGAGAGAGAGAGAGTAGAGGGTGAGGACTCACCTATTACGGACTGAGCATAGAGGAAGGGGAGACTAGAGAAGGCAAGTACTGAACGGAGAGGAGACTAGAGAAGGCAAGTACCGAGCAGAGAGGAGACTGCTAACATGAAGTAGAGAAGATAATAAGCACTGAGAAATGAGACCAGAGGATAAGGAGATGGCAAGCATAAGGCTGACACACTGACTAGTACTCCAACCCTCCAAGGGAGCTGTTGAGTGAGTAGAGAAGCCGGGAAAAGTCTCAGATTTTCCAAAATAGAAAACAAAATAAAAAAACATGTTAAAATTGTTTTGTGTTTTTTAGTTTTTAAAAACAAATAATTGTTTTTTTTGTTTTGTTTTTAAAAACAAAAAACTCTTTTCAGAATAGGTAAACAAACAGGCCCTTAATTTCTGCCATCTGCTCGTAACAAAGGCTCAACTCAAATGGGCAATCCAGTTTTTCTTTCCTTCCTTCCTTCACAGAAGTAATGTTGGCAATCAGGACCCTCTGAAGCCCCGTCCAGCGGATTTGATGTTGGTCTGAAGAGTGAAGTTCGAAGCGGTCGGCATTTTGAGTGAACAAATCTGAGCTTCACGACTAGGGACTTCTAGCAACGGGAAAAGCTCCCACTCCGAAACTACAGTTCGATTTTTCCCCCCACAGAATTCGTAAAAATCGGAGGCTAAGCGATTATTCGTCCACCTCTATTTTTTCTTAATTGATTTTGATAACCCTGTAATACTTGCATCTTTTGCTTGTATCGGTGGTTGCCACGAATGCTATGACACGAGAGGCTATTGATTCTGTCCTATTATGCTTTTACGTGATGGGGTGTGATCTAGGCCTCTTTGATTATTATAATATCCTGTGGTTTTCTGTTTTGATTGTTCTTTTAACGTCTTGAACTCATTTTTGAACAGTTAATCTTATGGTATGAGCTTGCTGCACACTAATATGCTGCTAGAGTACTGAACAAGGATTAATAATTGCCGATAACTTGTGGCTTCATTGAAGCAGTATAGAAAATGAGATCAAGTTTGAATCCTATATTCCTATTTATTCAGTATAGTCGTTAATGTCGATGTAGAATTTCCTTTGGTGTTTCATTTATCATGGTTCTTCTGGCATGATTTCAAATTAAGCATAAATGTATTTAATATACTGTTGATTACTAAAAAATGGAAAAGAGAAAGGTTTTTAATTCATTCTTGAGAGAACTAGAGCTGAAAAGAACCGTTGAACCTGGCTTTGAAGTTGTTTCTTTTTTCTCACCAATCAAAAACACTGTTCACAACTGTCTCTTGCTTCTAGTAACTAGTTTGTTGAACTGTAACAGACTAAAACCTGAGATCTTCCATTTCATCTGGTTTACATGGAGTTCAGACCTCGCACTTATGGTGCCTATCATTCTTCTCATGTGCTTCCTCGCTTTCCTACTGATAGCCATCCATTTGCGGCTCCATCAATTTCTGACATCCAGGTCCTTATACCTTGCTACTTTTCCCACTTTCTTGGTTTGATTAACAAACCTTAGTCTTGTTGCTCAAAATTTTACGTGACTGTATTAGATCGATATTCAATTAAGCCCTTTGGATGCACACTGCCTTTTAAAGTGATTAGTTGGCTATATTTTGTTTGGTTTTAACTTGTATGATCTTGAACCAATATGTACATTTGTGATTTCATTCATCAGTTTGGTAGAGAAAATATGAAAGAAAGAAAAGAATTATGATCTATTAGCTTGGAATGTGAATTTTATTTTAAGAAAACCTTTATTCATCTCCATTTAGTCCTGTTCTTCAACATATTAAGATGGATTGACGATCATGTCATATGTAATTTGAAGAATTACATTGTTTTGTATTATGTCTAATGAGTATTCAACATGTTCCAAACATAGACATGGCTCTGTCTATACTTGTAGTCAGTATGTATGATTTAGGGTGTCATATTTAGGATTTAGAAATATGTTTGTTCTGTCTTAGGACATTCAAGCAATTATGTTATTGCTCAGCTGAAGCAATATAATAATCAAAATAGACTAAAACTTTGTAAATCTATATGACTATAATTATAGAAGTCGAGACCAAAATTGTATGGTCTTTGAGGTTGTAAAATCGAATTCATGCTTTGTCAGCATATAATTACCTAGTAATGGGCTCCAAGAGCTTGGACAAGGAAAGGAGGTGCGGAAGAGATTTTATTGTTAGCTGTATGTTCATTTTCTTTCACCTTGTAAAGTAACTTCGTTATGTAGACTTGTTAAATTGCTTGATAATAATAATTAAGTAGGTGTACATGAGTTCTACAGCAGTGGACACAATATTCTCTTTGATAAAATGGCAATCAATCTCTTTGCGTAGTCTTGTCATGTTGGACAGGGATTTTTGGCTTTGGCTAGGCTGATTGCCACCACGTAATCACAAATTTATGACCTTGCCATTGTATCTGATTTGAATTTCCTTTAGGAGACCTTTAGGCCTTCCCTTCACAATATTAAGAGCCAAGGCTCTATATTTTGCTTAACTCTTATGTGAGCAGGAAAGGACAGTGTTTGCTTCTCCTAGTTATTAGATTTCCCCAAATATAAGTATATAACTGGTTATTGATATTTGATTGTTGACTAATTTGACTTGGTTTGTATCACAATACACCTCTAACATAGAAATCGATTGTAGCTTTATAAAGGATCAGATTGAAGCGGGAATCATTGGTCTCTCCTACATGCTCACAAAAGCACAAGTGACAAACATTTTAACAAAACTGCTCCCCAGAGACATATTTGAGGATCTAAGTTCTGTTGGGAATGATCAACGTCTACACACCAGCTTGAAGGGAAGTGCTGGAGTGTGTTGTTTTACTCCGTAGTAGTGGAGACACTGTTTTCTATGTGCTGGGGTTTTCTATCATTTAATTATTTTATTGTAATGGGCCTTGTATTTTGGCCCCTTTCAGAATAATTCTACTGCCGCTATTATTTCATTTATCTCCACGATTTTAGGAAGATTCTAGGGAGTAGATGACTTGTAGCTAAACCTAGTTTCTGTCTATATTTACCCTAGTCATGATCGTTTAAGCTATGCTTTTCCTGCCTCTTCAGTCAGCAACAGTGAGAATTCCATTCATTGTCTCTACTCTCTCCTTGAATGAAATTCTAGGGTTCGAATGGTTTTGTTCTTGGAAAGTGACATCAGGGAGCAGAAGACTTTTCTCATTGTTAGCAAATAGCAGCGATATGACCTTTATTTATTTATTTATTTTTAAATTCTTTTGATGTTACATATCCAACAATTATGCAATTTAAAGCTTTAGGCTCAAGTTTGTTGACAAAGACAATGCACCCAAAGACCTTTATAGGAATATTTTAGTGATCATTTGAGCGGTGGGGGTATGTTTTTATAAAGAGAGGCACCGGTTGTATTGAGTGATAGCCTTAGAAGGGAGTTGAAGTGGTCATCTGTTGCCTTAAAATGGTTGCAGGACATTCATATTCATAGTAAATATAAGTGGCTTTTTTTTTTTTGTGAGTCCATTTTATTGTCGATTGTGAATACAAGTGGCTTGATGTTTTATACTGTTATGTTATTGGAAAAGAAAGAGAGAGAGAGAGAGAGAAGGGAAAGCGAAGAGAAACAGAGAGAATAGGGGAAATTAGAGAGAAGGGGGAGAGAGTAGAAGGCAATAGATGGAAGAGAAAGAGAGTTCCATTAGGTTGATCACAATACAGCACACTTACAAATGAGAGATAAGCCTGTTTATATAGGCAAAGTCCAACTGCTAATAACTAACTATTATTCTAACTAACTCACATAATTCTGTTATTTATTTATTATAATATCATATCAATACCCCCCTTCCCAAAAGACACTTGCCCTCAAGGGTCAAGATACATAGAATCTTGCACCAAACCAGAGCCTTGAAGCATTCTGGTTAACGTTCCCTTGAACCATATCTGAATTAGAATTCTTGTAGGTAAAACTTGAATAAAGGAGACCCAACTAAGTGATAGATTTGTGGGCTTGATTGAATTGATCCACTGCAGCAACGAACTTGGGCCCTTTTCTTGAAAGATAAGGCCTGTATAACCATTAATCAAACTTAGTGGATCTTCACAATACTTTTGCCACTTACAGAAGAGGGGAGACAGCTGGGCATTTGACTTTTCAAAATGAGCTTTTGCTTGCCACTTACAATCCATAACCTGTTCAATTTGTCTTGAAAGTTGCACATGGTCTTCACTTCTCCAAGTCATTCGATTATGCATCAAGTTTGAAGACATAGACAATCCTGAACACATTTTTGTAAAACTTGACCTTAATGGCTGGTATCCACCACACGCAAATGTGATTTCTTCGTTGCTCCGCCTGTGCGTTGCGTGCGGAAGGTCTTGTGATCCTTTAACAAAGTCGACACTTAGAGACCCATTAATAGCAGAAGTGATTTTCACGCTACCCCACATTTCTGGTTTGCGGAGAGCATTAACAACTCCATGCGTGGCAACCATAACTCCATTCGTCGTCGTCTTCGGGCTCACCTTCGCATCTCTGGTCTTTCGTGTTACATGTGAACATGTCTGTGCTCGCTCCACGAAGTCTAGTCGCGTGGTTTTGGCTGCACCATTGCTCTCGATTTCTTGTTGAGGAACAGGAGGTTCAAGCGTTCTTTCTTTTGTTGACATCTTTATGGGTTTCTTGCACTTGTCTTCACAAACATCTTGAGGACTCTTCTGTGGTTGCCCGTTGACACCGAACGATTCTTGCATTCCAACGAATACCTCTTGGGCCTCGTTCTTCTTGCCCTTCCATTGCAAAGTGAGCTCCTGCATTCTTGCAAGGCTATTGGCTTCGCGCATCGTTTGAGGCCTAAACAGATGTATTGGTTCAACATAGTCTTCTTACAGCACCAAGATGTAAGCATCGACCAACCATTCTTCAATCAATGAGAGTTTGGAGGAAATTGCGTCAAATTCAGGATTAAATCCTACCAAGGATCCTCGATGTTGAAGATGAAGCAAGTCTTTTTGTCGTATGAGTTCTTGCAATTGCGTGGACAAGCCAAGAAGGGCCTCTTTTAATTTATTGACGGAGCCTTGTATTCCATCAACTGAATTCAATTTTTGTTCGATGTTGAGGAGACGTTGCTCTATGGAACTTGAAATTGATTGGGGATGAGGGAGAAAGAACCGAGTAGTGGGTAGGGCCGAGGAAAGACTAGCTCTGGATACCACTGTTATGTTATTGGAAAACATAGAGAGAGAGAGAGAGAGAAGGGAAAGTGAAGAGAAACAGAGAGAATAGGGGAAATTAGAGAGAAGAGGGAGAGAGTAGAAGGCAATAGACAGAAGAGAAAGTGAGTTCCATTAGGTTGATCACAATACAACACACTTACAAATGAGAGATAAGCCTGTTTATATAGGCAAAGTCCAACTGCTAATAACTAACTATTATTCTAACTAATTCACATAATTCTGTTATTTATTTATTGTAATATCATATCATATACCTTCAGATGCAAGGTAATTTTCTGGAGATGAATTAACACATTCTTTGCCATTATCACTCTTAATTTTTTTTTAATGTTATTTTGAAACAGATTTTTGACTAGTTGATAAAATTTTTTTTTTAAATTTGGAGGGTGCGTCACATTTTCCTTTAAGAAGGAACAGCCACCTGACTCTTGTATGATCATCTACAAAGGTTAAAAACATCTTACACCTGGTTATGCCTCTAACCCTTGAAGGTCTTCCCTCATGACTATGAATAAGATTAAGTCTTCCAATTTACAGATTCTGTCCAAATACCAACATAAGGTGTAATGGAAATGCATATCTTGGCAAATCATCTATTCATCCTTTGAATCTTTTTTGCCCGATAATAAAGTCTTGATGTATGCAATAGATGACATCCCTGGGAGGCAACAAAGAACAGAAAAGAAGAAGAAATAAACCAACAGTAAAATACTTATGGGAGCAGCCATCCATTTGATTGCTTTTTTAAGTAAGAAAAAAGTGATACTAAAAACAGACTGTGATGGGGCCAGAGTTGGGAAACTTAAATCAACTACACATTAATAGCATTTTCTTTTCATTTATGTATTGTGGGAAAGGATGGAGATAGCAAAAATGAATATATATATATATATAGAATTGGTACGTGTGAATAATTCAAATTGTATTCATCTTGTGTAATGTATAGTGAATATATAGAGAAGAGGTGAATTAGGAAAGATTACATGAGATATCAAAGAGTGATCTAGGAAAAATTTGAATTAAATCTAATCCCCTATAATCTGCCTAATATTTCGGAAGTAATAATTATTTACATATTAATTGGATCATAGGTGCTAATTATGTTCGACTTGCTTGTGAAGTTCTCGAACAAATCTTCAAGAAACCTTTTGGTGAGATTGCCTGCAAGTTGTTGCCTTGAGGTTACATAGGACAAACATACAATTCCATCTTCCACTTTTTTCTCTAATAAAGTGTCAATCAACCTCAACATGTTTGGTTCTGCTGTGTTGTACTGGGTTCAGAGCCATGTTTAGAGCTTCTTTGTTGTCACAAAAGAGTTTCATTGGCTCGTTGATATGAACTTGAGCCTCTTCTGCGACTCTTTTCAACCAGAGACTCCATAATACCTTGAGCCAAAGCTCTCAATTCTGATTCTGCACTACTTTTAGATATGACCACCTGTTTTTTACTTTGCTATGTCACCAGATTACCCCACACTAAGGTACAAGAGCTAGATGTTGATCTGCTTTCCTCTTGAGCACTTGCCAACTCTGCATTGGTGTAAATTTCTACTGTCCTAGGGTCACACTTCTTGAAGAAAAGTCTTCTTCCTGGTGTCCCTTTCAGGTACCTTAGAATTCTATAGGCTGCATCCATGTGTTTCTTACTAGGTTAGTGCATATGTTGACTTGCCACACTCACTACAAAGGCAATATTGGGCCTTGTGTGTGACAAATAGATCAATTTTCCAATTAGTCTTTGGTACCTCCTAGTGTCTACTAGTTCTTCATTTTTCTATCGTTTCTTTTCTTGTTTTGCTTCTTTCTTGGTGATTGCTTTCTTCTTACTTCGTTTAATGCTACTCTTCACACTGATTGGAGTTTTAATTGGCTTGCAACCAGGCATGCCAGTCTCTTTAAGCACATCAAGAATGTACTTTCATTGGGATATATAAATCCCTTTTTTTGATCATGCAACCTCCATTCCAAGGAGGTACCTTAGTTTTCCTAGGTCTTTGACCTCAAACTCTTGACCCTAGGCTATCTTTATTCTGTTTATCTCATTTACATCATCACCTATAAGAATAATGCTGTTCACATAGACAATAAGGATTGCCTTTAGTGCTCCATTCTTCTTGAGAAACATTGTATGATTTGACAAATTTTGCTTATAACCTTTATCCTTTAGAACTTTGGAGAATCTATCAAACTATGCCTGAGGTGACTGCTTTAAGCCATATGAGGATCTTTTCAACTCACACATGGTTTTGCCTTCCTCTATCAAAACCAGGAGGAAGCGTCATGAAGACTTTTTCTTTCAACTCACTGTTAAGAAATGCATTTTTAATGTCCTGCTGTTGTGGCGGCCAATCGAAAGTCGCTGTAATTGGCAGCAGAATCCTAATTGTATTTAATTTTGCTACTGGAGCAAATGTCTCATTATAGTCTGGCCCATAGGTCTAAGTGAAACCTTTGGTGACTAACCGTGCATTAAACTTGTTGAGTGTGCCATCAACATTATATTTTGGAGTAAAGAGCCACTTGCATCCTACTGTTTTCTTCCCTTTTGATAGATCAACCACTTACTATGTTCCATTTTTCTCCACTGCCATCATTTCTTCTATTATTGCCTTCTTCTACTTAGGATGCTCTAGTGCCTCATACATTGTCAGGTATTTTGATTTTATCAAGATCAGTAACAAAAGCACCATAATCAAGAGATTATGATACATATTTTGGGATAGGATGCGTGGTATAGGATCGGGTCTTCTTCCTTAAAGCAATGGGTAAATCTTCTTCGTTGACTTCCCTAGCAGGTTCAGAATCCCTCATTTGGTCTGGCTCTGGTAGGGCTTTGTGCATGTTGAGTTCTATAGTCTCTTTATCTCATTGTGAGTACACCTTGTGATATTTATTGTTGGTCTTTTCTCCCCTGTCTTTGGCACTTGCGCAACGTTGGGTAGAATAGGAGCAGGAGAAGGCTTGATGGGCTCAACGAGCGGAACAGACTCAATATTAGCAGGCTCTACTCAGCATACAATTAATTTAATGAGTTGCGGTAAGAATTGCATCCCCTCAAATGTATTTAGGCACATTACATGTAAAAAGAAGTACTCTAGCAACCTCAAGAAGATGCCTATTTTTTTGTTTGGCATTACCGTTTTGTTGTGGACTGCGAGGGCAAGAGCTATTGTGAACAATGTTGTCTGGCTTTAGAAAGGTTTCAAGCTTAAAATACCATGTGCCATTGTCAGTGTATAAGACTTGAATGGTGGTGGTGAATAGAGTTTTAACAAGATTAAAGAATTCCATAAAGATAGTAGGAACAACGGATTTTCCCTTAAGCAAGTAAACCTAAGACATTTGTGTGAATAAAAGTTACAAACCACTTGGCATGGGTACGATTAGGAACACAAGACGAACCCCAAACCTCAATATGAATTATAGAGAATGGACCAGTTGGTTTGTAATGTGACGGCGGAAAATGTGTACACGTGTTTGGCAAGTTTGCCAAAATCATAATGAAGAACTGATGAGGAAACAGATGTTGCAAATAGGAAAAACTAAGATGACCAATCCTTTTATGCCCCAATAAATTTCATTATTTTCAAAGGTAGAGACGACCATTTATTGGCAAACACAAGGTAGTCATGGTAGAGACATTGAGATAATAGAGTCCGTCATGCTCCCTAGCTATGCCAACCATCTTCCCCAATGAGAGATCTTGAAAAATACAGTAAGTGGGAAAGAAGTGAGCACTACAATTTGCATGTTTAGTTAACTTGCTAATAGAGAGAAGGTTACAGGCCAGATGACGGACATGTAAGACAGAGTTAAGATGAAAGGAATTTGAAATATTAACCGAGCCTCTCCTAGCAATGGCAGGAGTAGTTCCATTAGTAGTGGTTATTTTTTCATTACCAGCACAATGAAAATAAGTAATAAACATTTGAGTATTCGAGGTCATATGATCAGTAGCACTAGTGTCAATAATCCATTCATTGGACGGGAACAAGATATGAAGTGCAAATAGTGTAGTACCTACATTAGCTAGGGAGGCAGAGGCAAAGGTGGTTGTTGCTACGTTTAAAGGCCTTTGAGAGCAGTAAGCAACTGATGCAGTTGCTCGTGTGACAAATTTGGTAGTGATTCAGAAGACTGGGAAGGGTCTTGTGACACCTGATAGCCATGGGGCTTACCCCTATGAGGTTTCTAATCAGCTGGCTTCTCGTGGATGTCCCAACAAAGGTCACGGGTGTGACCAAGCTTTTTGCAATGATTGTAAGTGACTTTGACTTTAGTGGAAGATGAGGAGGCTGCACCTTTACTGACAAGTGCAAAGGACTCAGAGAGAGGACTTGGAGGAAGAGGAAGATGGAGTGTGCAACATAACCTATCGGCGAGAAGCTTCATGTTAGACTTTTGAAAAAGCCTCATGAGTGCTGATTAATGATGAACGACTAAGAATATGACGTTGGATATCATCAAACTTAGGATTTAAACCAACAAGTTCAACATTTTGCCTATACCAAGCAATGGTAGTGGGGGAAGACTACTCCCCCTCTATAATCATATCTAGTTCCTGCAACAAACCAACAAGTTCCAACCAGTATTCAGTAATAGTTTAGTTTCCTTGTTTGACATTTCAGATTCTCATTTTGATATCATAGAGTCAAGCTAAGTCCTCGCCATCAGAGTAGGAATCACATATGGCATCCCAGATATCTTTAGCCGTTGGCAGATACATAAAACTACGCTTGAGGGGTGGGGATATAGCATTGATTAACCACTATGAGACTAGAGAGTTGTCTTTGAGCCATCATTGCATCTCTGAAGACTTGGTATCACTAGGTGCTTTCGACTCACCCGTGAGTAACCCAAGCTTGCTGTGACCTCCAATAGCTAGTCGAGTAGCCTGGGCACACTCCCTCTAATTGCTCCTTGTGAGCTTTTCTGAAACGATGGCGACGAAGGAGCCATCGAGACTAGCAGTTGACTCGAAGGGACTGCCGATTCGAAGACTGCCGACTAGTCCACCAAAAGGTTCCATCATGGTCGGACTTCTCATGGGGCTCGACCCAACTAGTGCCTCCTCCGATGTGGAGGAGGAAGAAGAGGATTTGGTCGGACTTGATGGGGGACATGCATCCACCAACTCTAATATCATATAGAATTGGTATGTGTGAATAATAAAAATTGTATTCATCTTGTGTACTGTACAATGAATATATAAAGAAGAGGTGAATCAAGAAAGATTACATGAGATATCAAAGAGTGATTCTAGGAATAATCTGAATTAAATCTAATCCCTATAATCTGCCTAATATTTCAGGAATAATAGTTATTTACATATTAACCACAATATATATATATGCACACACAAGTGTAAAAAAAAAAAAAAAAAATCTTGTTACAGTTCATATATTAGACAGGTCATAAACATAGTCTTATTCATGGTGTGTTTTATTAAATTGTTTACAAGTTATATTTGTACTTTGTTCTCTCCTTTTGACTCTTCTTGGCATGCCCATCATCGACCCTTGCATCATATTTTGCAAGTTGGTACACAAAGTTTGTGCGTGCTAGCTTCTTTTCTTGTTTCCCAGTCTGTTTAACAGTTTAGTTTGATAAGGTTCTATCTATTTCGCATTAGTTTCCTTGCTATTTTCTTGCTTTCGTCCTGAGTTTTGTATGTGTACTTCTAGTTTAGATAGGTTATTTTTACTCTTTTTTGAACTTCGAAGTTATTTTCTTTTTTCAAATTTTTTAAAATTTTTAAAATTTCCTTTTGAATTATTATATTCAATCAAAAACATATCTTGATATTTCTTTGGGCTTTTGAATCATACATTTGTGGCAATCTTTAAATTTTTTTGTTAATATCCTCATATTAGGTTGATGCAGTTGATCTTGGTAACCATGAATTTCTTGATCCACTGAGACGATTGGATGGAGATGCAAAGGCTATTCCATTTGATCATGAAATGCCGAGTGAAGCTGCTATTCATCCACCAATGAAGGAGTGGAGCTCTTTTAGAAGATTACTACAGCAAAGGTTCCCAGTTTCCAAAATGGTCTCTCTTTCTTCTGTAAGTTTTAGGGCCTTAATTTTGTGTTAATTCCAAACATGATGTTGTAGTGCCTAATGGCAAGTCATAAAGCAAAGTGTTAATAACAATCTAACAATTGCTACATGTAAATGTAAACGTAATATTTGGTAACCAAAAAAAAAAAAAATTCCGAATCTAAATATGAATACAAATTTTCAATAACAATAAAATAAGATAGATTTAGAAAAGATAAATTTCCAATGGGCCAAAAAAATTTGTAAAGTAAATCATAAACTTGATTATATATATTGCTTACGTGTATACTTCGATTTTATATTATGATATGTATTGTTTATTATTTTCTTAAATAAATATTTGCCCTAGGTGGTTCAAAGTGCTAACCTGCCATGGGGTGTGACAACATAACTACTATTAGGATTACCAGCAACCCTACTCACCATATTATAATGAACCATGTGGAGATTGATAGTCATTCATATAAAAAGAAAAGAGAGAAATAGACTCAAGCGATGTTGATCTGATGCTTATACCTACTAGTTGACAAATTGTAGATTTATTCCCTAGAGCTCTCTCCCAAGGACTAGGTTTGAACATTGGAGCAACAAGCTGCTGGGAATGCTAGACATTCGCTAGCTTGAGGGGAATGTAAGCAAGATAACATTGCTAATCTTGCTAAGTGTGCGCATCTGTGACTATGACTTGTATCATGCTAGTAAAGAGAATTATTACATCTAATTTTCTTAATTCATGGCTGTAGAATTCTTATGATTTTGAACTGTTTATTCGAATGGAATGAATGGGAAATAAATAGATGCAGCATCCTCAAGTAGATGAGGCTTATGGGCCAAGATCTTAGGGATTTGGCCGGGAAACTAGGACTTTGAAAAAAGATACAGAATCAACTTAAAAGCTAAGAAATCAGAATCTGAAACATATATTCCTAAATCATAGACTAATTCAAATATATAAATTCAACTAAAGGCTGATTGGGGTTAGGTTGTTTTAGGCCCATGGCCCCAAAACTTCAGCCTTCAACAATGGCTTTTAAAGTAGCCTTGAAGAACCTTTTATATACTTTGTGTTATTGTTTCTATGTTTTACCCAGAATGTTTTAGGCCTTTGTTCGTCATAATTTTCTAATAATGTTTCCCAATAATTTCAGGTTCCTGAGGTTATGATGAGGAGCGGAAAATGTATGCAGATATCTTTTTCATTGACTTTCGTTTTGTTTTGTTCTTTCGATTTCCCAAAATCCTAATCATATGACTGACCATAATATTCCTTCATCTCTTGGTGCTCATTACATAGACGTCTGATGGGACGGACAGCTTATAATGTTCACTTGTGATCGTCTCCCTAATTTTCAGCTCTTGAGAAATCCTCAAGTATGCATATGGAGGAACTAGATGATCCACAGAAATTTGCAGATGATGAGGTCAAGGTGATTGCTTGGCAGGAATATGTTTCCCGACTGCATGAGCTCAAAGATGAAATTGCTCATTCTTGGCTTGTTGATGATCGTATAACATCCTTAAAGTTATCTGTAAAAGTGAGTTTTGAATTCATTTAGTTATTTTTTCTTACTACATTGTTATGTAAGTGATCTCTAACCTTCATTGTTTTGAAGAGATGGTTCTTTATTAGTAGTTTTTTCTTTTTGCCCCCTTTACTGTGAAGCATTTCTCCTGAACCTCTGTTCTGCCCAGTGCAGTGTCTTTTATTCTGCCAGCCGGCAAACTTAGGGTATGTTTGGCTCAATGAAAGGAAGGGGAGGGGAGGGATTTTAATGGAAGGAAGGGGAGGGGAGGGGAGTGGAAGGATTTTTAATATTATCTTGTTTGGATTTATAAAAAAAGAGGGGAGGGGAGGGAAAAATATTTTAATATGGATAATTTTGCTCTTATTTTATTTAAGGTGTGGGCATAATGGTCACAACATGACAAAATATAGACATAATGGTCACAACATGACAAAATATGGACATAATGGTCATAACATGACAAAATATTGTCCTTTCCCTCCAAATCCTCCCAATTTTGGAGGGGAGGTTGAGGAGGGGAGGGGAGGGGAAATTTTTTAAAATTTCCCCTCCCTTCCTAAAATTTGTGTGTGTTGTCAAACAAGGGGAAATGATTAAAATCCCTCCCCTTCCCTCCCCTCCCTCCCTCCAAACACACCCTTATAGAATGAAGGCAACATGCCTGCCTTCTATAGCTCAGTAATCTTGGGACAAATAAATTTATTTAATTCAGAAAAGACCAGAACAGATTCTACCCTATAATATTATAAGTAAAAGGAAAAAAAATTAATTAAAAAAACCTTTATAATCTGCAGTAGACACTGAAAAATAGGAAAGCCCTTAGTGGGCTAGGATTGCACCGCAAAGCCCATGAAGATAAGGGCATCAGCACGTTGAAATGAAACAACTCTCCACACTAACTGGGGATGAAACGTCTATTCTAGTGTGAGATATTTAAGTTTTCCGACTAAGGGTTCGTACATACTTCTGTCCAATGAAGGGCTTTCCTTTTCAAGACCAAGTTTGTGATTCACATTGCTGGTTTGCAGCCCAACATTCCTGTTTCCTCCACGTTCCAGCAAATTCAGAGTACATTTTCTTTGGAAGATTGAAATACCTTCCTTATTTCAAGCAACCTCCATTCCTGGGAAGCATCTCAGACTCCTTAGATCCTTTACTTCAAATTTTGAGGCTAAGAGCTTCTTTAAGCTGTGAATTCCTTCTCTATCATCACCTGTGATCACTATATTGTCCACATAAACTTTCAAAACCTTTTAGTTTCCCATTTAAAGCATGCTTCGCCAACAATGTGTCATCTGTTCAGCACTAAATAAAACTATTCCTTTTAATCACAATAATAAATCTGCAAAGCCAATCACAAGGTGATTGCTTCAGGCCACACAATAGTCCCTTTAGTCTAAACACTTTGTCTAAAGCTACTTGGATTCAAAATTAGGAGGTATCTCCATATAAACTTTCTCCAATTTACCATTTAGGAGGGCATTTTTCACATCCAACTAATAAAGAGGCCAATCAAGATTACAAGAAAGCGAGATAAGTACCTTAATGGCAACAAAATTGGCCACTGAAGCAAAGGCCTCCGAGAAATCAATGCCATAGGTTTGAATAAAAGCTTTAGCAACCAACTTGGCTTTATATTTGTTGAAACTTTCATTTAGGTTATACTTGATGGTGAGAACTCATTTGCACCCAACTGTAGACTTCCTCTTGGGTAACTCTATAATTTATGAAGTATCATTCTTCTTTAAGGCTTCCATCTCCTCATGAATTGCATCTTCCCATGCACTGGAGTGCTTGATGAACATTCTTGGCTATTTGCTCAGGATGACATTGGCAACAAATGTTCATAAAGGAGTGGACATTTGATGATCAAAGTTCCTTGATGGTGGAATGTACTTTGGTTCCTCAAAAAAACATCTTGAAATCCTTCAATACTTTCATGTTCTTGTTATGTACTTGTTCTCATGTACCAACTCGCATGGATGAGTTCTTTAGTGACTACTAATGAGATCCCAAAAATCGAAATACTAGTTTTGTTTTAATTTAGGGTTGATATAATTTTTGGTCTGGGAAACTTGGGTCCATTTTGGTTTTGGTCCCTCAAATTTCAACTCCATGGTTTTAGTCTGTCTTAAAACGTCAGTCTCTAGGGGTGTAATGGTATTAAAATTTGTTGAAGCGTCGTAAATAGTGTTAAAGTCTTGGGCACATGGCTTGATCTTGCGTGGATAATAGGGGCAAAAAAAGATCAGATCGTCAAAATGCAATGCAAAGAATGATTATATAGAGGGGGATGAGTTTTCAAAATACAGCATAGTGAACAATTCCTCAAACAAATAGGTAGGAAAAAAGGGAGGGCTAAACAACTATTTTTTAAGGACTTGTTCTTTTTTTCTTTTGTTATTCACATAAGATCCAGCTATGTGCTATTTGGTGAATCCACATCACCATTTTAATGCCGTTTATGGCACTTTAGCAAATTTTAACACCGTTACACCTGCAGTGATTGTTTTAAGACAGACTAAATTTTAGGGACTAAAACCACGGGTTTGAAATTTGAGAGACCAAACTAAAATAAGCTCAAATTTTAGGTGTTAAAAATTATACTAACCCTTTAATTTATTCCTTGGTAAACACTAATGCCAAGTAATAGTATAGGTTAATGCATGAGAAATTAGCATATTAAATCAGATCATGGGAAATGATATGTTAGTGTTAAATTATTTATTTGTCTGAAATTTATTGTGTGTTCTGCAGGTCGCTAAACTTCTAGTGGATACATCAATTTTGCAGTTTTATCCTACACTCTTTGTCCTTGTCACTGATATCATGGACATGCTTGGAGATCTGGTCTGGCAAAGGATAAAACAGAAGGCTAAGTTTTCCGCAGATGGAACCTTACTTGGTAGCTTACCAGGTGTTCTATCGATTTATATTTCATTGTTTTGCAAATTGTTTTTCTGATTTACGAGGCTGAATCATTCTCTTGCATATATACAACAGAAGAACTAAAAAAATTACTTCAAGCAGTCCCAAAGATCTCTCCTTAATAATAATAACCGGATTACCTTTCTAATAGAATCAAACATTGCAACTGAAAAACAGCTCAGCGCCCATCAATCTACAATCTTTAAAAATTTGGGATTTCTACAATCCCTCTCAAGTTTGTGATGTATTAATAATAGAAGACTAGTTAGTTATAGTTAATTATATAGTAGCCGTTAGATGTGGGTTGGGAATAACACCTATGTAAGGGATTAAAATTGTAATTAGAGACAGTTTTGAAGTGAATGTAATTTCCAGAGCATTATTCAGAAATTCTCTCCTCTCATTCTCTCTCTTCTTTCTTGTTCTTTCCTCTCTCTGTCTATATCCCTTTCTCTTGCCTTCTCCTATCTTTCTTATCTTCTTCACCACTCACCTCGGTTTGATCACATCACAGATGTCATCATTGTCCAACTTCATAAATAATCCTCTTAAAGTATGAATCAATAATCCTTTAATGGATTGAGCCCATTCATGACAGTTGTCTCCCACAAGCTTTTCTGGGGCAATGATGGCAGAGGAACCTTTAGTCATGGAAGTTGTAGAGGACATCGCAGTGTTGCATGAATTAGACAACGAAGACTCACCAGACAAGGAGTTCATTTTTGGGTCTGTAACATCAGATGGCGGTTGCTGCAACTCCATGTCAGAAGCAAAGTCTGAGTCTGATTCTGAACTTTGGGTCCCTCCCTCATGCTCTGATACCATGTGAGTGGAGATCCGAATTCACATCTCATTGATGTGAAGAGGATACAATATATACACAATATACATTAATCACTGTGACGCAACCTAGGCTAGATATCAGGGAAGAGAGTATTGAATCCTAGCTCCGACCATTTACACAATAAAGACTATGAAATAAGAGGAAATTAATAAAGGCATACTACTCCTAATATATTGGTTCCCACAGATATTGCTAATAAGCTTTATCACTGATTATTTATTGGTCATTATGTGTTACAATTATTTTATAGTTTATAAGTTATTATTATTACTCAAAAATAAATATAATCAAACTGAAGTGAGTTAAACTCAATTGAAACATGTTTGTTGTGTGGTTTAAATTTGATAAAAACCCCTAAAATTTCTATAAAATAAAAAAAATTTAAGGTGTGAACTATTGATGCTTATATTCCATATACTAGTTGTTGCATGTTTCATGGCTCTAATGTTTCCTTGTGGATTGTCATTTAGCAATATCAATGCCACATCCAGTACGATTGTCTATTGAATGTAATTTTCCAGCAAAGTAATGAAGTTAGTATTTATTTCTGATCTTTTCTATTGTGTTTTTTTTCCCAGGCCTAATGAATTATAGAACTTATGCCTGATATTAAGTTGATTAGAGGCCACAAATTAACTGATATCTTTGTCCTGAGTCTTTATTATATTTCTCTCAGAAAACTTTAAAGCAGTTGATATTTGCTCTGATGCTAAAGAAACTTGCAATAACTGGTTTAGCAAAATTGGTGCTGTGCGGGAGCTTCTTCCACGCATGTAAATTCCTGATCCTTCCTGAAGTATTTAACTTGTTTACTATTCTCTATTCTTTGACTTTATCCATATGTTTGAAATTATCTGACCTCTATTTCAGATAGCAATCACTTTCTCTGCTGTAAATCTTTAATTTACATACAAGAGACTGCTGTTCCTGGGAAAACTATAAACCTACGGAGTTACATAATCATCAACTAAATGCACTGTAGTCTTATTAATAGCCATGCTTCTATGCTGCACTCATGTGATACTGAACGTCATAATTGCGATCACTTAAAAATACAAAACGTCATAATCCCTTAGGAGATAGTTCTTTCAATTATAAATTGTAAATTGGACCCATGGAGGCTCAATGTATGTGGAATAATTTTTCTCGAATCTGGATGCTGAGTAAGTGCCTTGTGCAAGTTGCAATGATTTTTGTTACTGGCGTGACAATGTTATTCATTGGCATATATTTATAGTATTATAGTGTAATTATCTTTATTTATTATTAGCTCTCAATTCATTTGGGAATCCTTTAAGCAGTGCTAATACAGTAGAATATTCAAACTTTTTTTTTCTGGCTATTACTCCATAAATATTTTGTGTTAAGGCTATTTCCAAGAGACTCTTTCATATAAGTAACGGTTTTTTTCTCTTTTTTTTTGGGTTAGAAATGTTAATAGTCCATAAAGTTACATCCCTCTGATGGGGATTTATGATGACTCTTTCCCTGGAATTGTACTGTAGTTACTTGGAGCTGGCAATATTACCTTGCTGGCGTTTTCTTCTTGATGAGCCTCTGGACAGTCTGAAGCGCTTGGTAATGATGACCAGAGGGTTAGGAGATCCAGTGGCATTTGCTTACTGTCATCTATATATGGCTCACTGTGCCCAGAAGTTGCCTTCGCATGATATAGGTATAACTATAACATCAATTTAAGCTTAAGATTTATAAAATATTTGCGTCTTGAGAAACAGTTGGACCCTTTTTTTGGGTAATATGAGGTACAAAGAGAATGGTGTGAGAGCACGCGCGCACACGCATGCGCTCACATGAAGCTGTAAAGAGAATGTTTGAAGATAAATTTCTTATTTATTATAATACTCACAACCGGAATCATACTCTCTATATACAATACAATAATATAGGAGGAAATGAAACTCCTCAATATTCAGTGAACAATAATTAGGGATAGAATTTGAAATAATAAATTTGTGCTTTAATTATTAAGTGATACTTAATTTCAATCAGAATCCCTGCTTCTTGTCATAGATTAGACAATAAAGGTGAGTAAATATATTAATGAGTTGAATTTCGATAGGATTAGAGGCCATTTGTTTAAGCTTAAAAATCAAATGGTTTTCATATTGTTTTAGAGATTTTATTCAAAGTAGTTAATGGTGTAAAGATTTTATAAAAAGCATAACTTGTTTTGCATTTGATTACAATAATAAAAAATAGATATTATTTAGTATTTTCAAACTTTATGATATCTTCTCATATCTCCATTCTATAAAAATAATTTATTATTAATTGATTTTTGAATTTTATGATATTTTGTATTTCTGTATGTTTATGAACATTCGCTCTTATCTACCATGTCTAATTATTCTCAAAAGCTACATAATGTAGCTTCTTGAAATCAACAACAGTAAGAAACCTTATCCTACTAGGTGGGGTTAGCTATGCGGATCGCACAATATTGCTGTGTTCTATTAACAACCAAATCTTTAATGTATTGTTCACCAAAAGGTTTAGTTCAATATATGAGTCTTTCTTTTGGTCTTTCTCTACCTTTCTTCGCATAACTCAAAACTGTCAGTTCAACCCTGCTCACTAGTATTTTCAATGGCTTTATTTGTGTGCCATGCCAACTCTTTATTATATATAATCATTATGAATCTTATGTTTCCTTGCATGATCTCAACGTCGTCATCTTTGCTGCTCTAACTTTAGGCAAAAGTGTACATTTCATCCTCTAACTTTATACAAGATCTCAGTTTGGCATCTTTAAAGTATCTTTTCAGTCTCTTAACCCTAACACATTTAATCTTAAATGAGAAATTTTTTGTACCAATCATTGTTATATTTAAAAATTAGTCTGACTACGTTAGAATTTGAGAAAATTTCGTCAATGTTTAAAATTTTAATGATAGCATTTTTTTTGTTAATGAAACTAATGGTGTTAGGGTTAGAGGACTGAGAAAACACTTTATAAAATGAAGGACCAAAATGATCATTTTGTGAAGTTAAAAGGACCAAATATGCATTTTTGCCCTAACTTTATGTTCATATTGTCATTTTAAAAACCAACATTTACTACCATATAGCATTGCCAGTCTTAGTGGTTTGATAAAACTGTCCTTTAAACTTATTAGGTTTTTTCCCAATCACAAATAACTCTAACAGCCTTTATTCATTTTCTTTAAAAGTGATATTTCTAAAGAAAATGATTTTTTCATGAAATACACTCAAACAAATGGGCCTTTTATCTCAAGTTACTTTGAGATTCCATAGTCTATTAAAATTGGGGAATAGATGTGATTTAGAGCAGCAAAGAAAAGGGGAGAAAAGAACATAGAGAAGCATAGATGTTGGGAGGAGGAGCAATGGAAAATGGTTGGTCTGAATTTCAAACCATCAATGTCTAAAAAAGGGGATAACTTAGGCCTATTAATAGGAAACCCAAACACAATAACTTGAAATAAAATGATGCCTAATAAAGGAAATGAAGGAAATCAGATAAGAAATTAATAAAAAGATTCCCATCATTTTCGCCCCAGCTTGAAAGAAAACTCCTTTGGAGGGCTACTCTTACAAGATGGAGTCTAGATGGTGAAACTGTCAGAAGAAATTGTTTGAAAGTGAAAAATCTGTATTTTTAATACAAATTACACATGGGCGACCATCATTATAAGTTTGAAATGTAATAGGAATTATGTAATAGGAATTAATATTAAATTCTTCAATTGATTCAAGATTTGACAACCTGCACTCACCCTGTGAGTCTATGGCATTTCTTCAGACCTTCACTTGTGTTTGTGCATTTTTATATGTACATCATGCTGCATCGACTCTGGAATTCTGTCTAACGCGTACATTTTCAATTGAACAGGATATCTTGTTACATGTCTTAATGACCTCAGAGTTATCTTGATCCGAATCTTATCCCCAAATGGAAGCATCTATGGAGACAAAAGAAAATTGTTTGTCAGTCTGATGGAACCAACCATTGAGTATGTTATGAATTGCATATTTAAGGGGATGTCTCAGGTAATAATGATTCCTGTGGCAAGAAGAATTTGGTTAAGGTTTTTATTATTACAATAGCAATTGAACTAAAATCTATACTTTATTCAGCAAAAAGAAATGAAGAAAAACATGCGGGCATTGATTTTGTATGACTATCCTCATTTTCTCCTCTATATTGTTGTGATATCATATTTCTGTCTTGAAGATGCAAATAAATGATGTTCTCCCTGAGCTTGGGTTGAGGAAGAATCAACAGTCTTCTAGCAATGTCACTTATGTTTCAGTTGTTCTTCATCATTTATTGAAGGAACTCCCAATTGAAGTAATTTTCTCAAATACTATAGAAATCCTTCATCTCATTGAGTGTAGCGAGGATAAATCCTATGATCAGGTATAATGCATTTGCAAGGTGTATTCTAGCTGAAATGCTACTTCATTTCTTTGAATTTGTTGTTTTTTCTGGTCCTTTGGTTTTATGCAGCATATGAATTACAGATTGCTTGGATTTAGGCTGAATGAAAGGAGATGCCCATGTGACATCGCCAAAGCTGTGCTTGATAAAGTCATTCAGGTATTTGTGCATTTCTGTTGTATCTTCATCATTTAAGAGTTAGGCTGTCACTTTCTTTGAATATTATTTTATCTTCTTGGGCCCTTTGTGGAACTAAAGCTAATAATCCCCTTCCATGCATTCCGAATAACTCAAAAAAAAAAAAAAAAAAAAAAAAGAAACAGATAAAAGGGCAGAGCCTGGAAAGCAAGCTAAAATAAAGCAAATAAATAGAGAGAATAGCGCTTGTGACTTCCAACACAAACTTATCAACTTCTATCTAAATGGATATAATCTTGTGATAAATCCACAAGTTTACATGTGAGAAGAAATAATTATATAAAATAATCCCAATCTCACATGGAAGTATGAAAACACTAAATCTTAATAAATGGGTCTGATTTAGGGAGATACCATGTGAATTTGGTGTGATCTCACCTCCATGATACTAATTATGATTTCACATCAGCAAATATCCTCCGTTGCTAGATTGTGTGATATATTTACGGCTGTCTCGTCAAAGCGGAGCTTGATAGATACTTCTAAGTCAATATGTGATTTGATCTAGTGATAGCAAAATTATTTGTCTATTTACAGTAAAGAGCATTTATTGCTGAAACGGAGAATGACGATTAGATCCCAAAAGATTGATTCAATGATAGTTAGGTCCTCAACAAAATTTGTGTAGTCAACCTATTTCTTCATATCCATGTCTCTCCTGTTTTAATGGTGACAGGAGGTTGTTGAGCAGTATGATAGCTTACATCAGTACCTGAAGGTTGTAGATGCCTATGCAGATCTTATTCTTCAGAATGGAATGGTAAGTTTGAATGACTAGACGCAATCCAATACCTATTAATGCCATCAAGAAAATCGGAGAATTTTTTTTCCTTTTATATTTCTTCAGAATGAAAGAAGCAACATATATGCAAAAGATCTCAGGGAAGAAGTCTGTCGGTGGATCCCATGAATTGAGAAATCATAAATGACGTCAGAGTTGAATTATAAGTTTGAATTAAGCAATCGTAAATGAATACAGGAGATCTGGACAAAAGTCTGGTCAAAGGAAATTACTGGTTTTTCTTTCTGAAAGCGGTTGGGCTTTGTGAAAATACCTTATTTTAGTAAACAGCAGAAGAACTCGGACATGCAGAGGGGTAGAGATATCATAAACGGAATCGCACAGTTCTCTCAAATAATGTGAGAATAATAGAATATAATGATTCTTGGGTTCTAGGAATAGTAAACAGATAACAGTATTAATTATAAAGATAATTATAGAGCTTTAAAGGATAAATTAGGGTTATTTAGCCATCAGCCCAGCCAGACATAAGCCCACTTCCAACGCTTTCATTCATTCATTCTTTCCTTTTTTTTTTTTTTTTCCCGAAAAAATAAATCACCTGCTTCACATAAGATACATTTTAATTAGACCTTGAATGAGAGAAGTCATACTTGAATTTCTAGTCATAAATGAGATCAGAGTTGATTTTCAACAAACTCTTTTGTTTTCCCCTAAATTCGGTCCTTTATGCCAGGATAATCTTCTGGAGACCATTTTAGAAGGCATATCAAGACGTGCATATAAAGGGGTTATGGAAGATGAAATGCTAAGCCTGCAGTCTCTATTGGTGAAGCTTCTTTCTCATTTCAAATGCCTGGAAGATGTATTTTTGCTGGTATTTCCTATAGTATTGGATTTTTTCCATCATCTATTTATCGGTCTATTTTCTTTACTTTTTCATACAACAAATAAATCCTAAAAGGTGATTGATTTCGTTATTGTTCTTTTATAGAATCACTTTCCTAAAATCCTAGATATAACGCATGGAAACACACGGAATGTTGTCTTTATGCACATGCTTGATATGGCAACGAGGTACCTTTTGTCCTGAAATTTATGTTCTTATTCCTAATTTATCTTCTTGTAAATGTTCTGATTTTCTAGGTCCTTTCAGATGTGGTCACCTCATTGGCACTGATACCATCTTGCATTGTGCTATCTTTGTTCAATGTAGATATAGGAATGAAAATAAGGTTCTAACACACACACACACGCACGCACACGCGCACGCACATATTTGCAAACTTACCAAATATACCAAAGCAAAATATCCTAGGAATACATGCGAACCCTCATAATCCTTCCACCTCATTCATAGTGACCTGTGGTGTACCTCTAAAATAAGAGGCAGGAATGATGGAGATAGTTCATAACACTTGTCCATAAAAATTACTCAGATTGAGTCTTTTGTCTTGTTAAGTAACAATCAACTTAAAATGCTTGGTGCTCACAAAAAACTAGATCGGAAGCAATATTCATCACTTCTTAGCTGTCACAAATCAACTCCATTTGATTACGACTTTCAACCTCAATTCTCAATGTAATTTTCTGAATAGTACGCTGTACTATTTACTGAATGAGGGTTTACATAATATATAGCGTAAAAGGAATAAACCTAATTAATGTAAATCTGATCACATCCCCTAAATTCCTCCTAAAGATAAGGAAATAATGATAATGGTTAGATTTTGTCAGAATCTAACCGTTACAAGAGATACACCTATTTAATGCTAGGAGATTCTAGGAGATTGGGTTAAAACTGATTAGTGGGCTTTTGGCAGCCAGCCCACTTTCCCACACTCCCCCTCAAGCTGGTGGATAGATATTAATCATTCCCAACTTGTTTTTAAGGCCTTCAAACATCTCTTGAGTTAGGGACTTTGTCTTTACACCTACAATTTGATTTCTTGTGGTTATGTGGGCAAGGTCAATTATCTTGTTGTCAATCTTTTCCTTAATGAAATGGCAATCTATCTCCATATGTTTTGTACGATCATGATGTATGGGATTATTGGTAATTTTTATTGCGGAGATGTTATCACGCCAAACCTTTATCAGTGTGTGTCCTCAATTCTTAATTCCTTAAGAAGTCTTACTAGCCATCTTCCTTCGCAAATGCCTAGGGCTAAGGCCTTGTATTTTGATTCTGCTGAACTTCTTGAAACAACTAGTTGCTTTTTGCTCCTCCAAGGGACTAGGTTTCCCCATACATACGAGCAATAGCTAGTAGTAGACTGTCTATCCTTTTTCGAACTTGCCCAGTCAGCATCTGTAAAGAGCTCAACTTTTCTAGAATCTCCTTTTGCAAAAAACAGCCCTTGTCCTGGTGTTTTCTTTAGGTATCTTAGGATTCTATAGACTGTTGTGATGTGTTCCTTTTGAGGGTTACTTGAGAACTAACTAACCACACTAACAGGGTAGTAAATATCAGGCCTTGCATGGGATAAATAGATGAATTTCCCTGCCTTTGATATCTCACCTTGTTTACTGCTTTTCCGTTCGGCTTGATTGTTAGCTTTTGATTTAGCTCCATAGGCATGTTAGCATGTTGTGCACCCAACATCCCTATTTCTCTAGGAGATCTAGTGTATATTTTTGTTGAGATACACTTATCCCTTTTTTTGTCCAAGCCACTTTTATGCCAAGGAAATACCTTAACTGACCAAGGTCCTTAATCTCAGATTTGGTTGCTAGACTTTCTTTTAGTTTTGCAATTTCATTCTCATCATTACCTGTCAAAACTATATCATCAACATATACAATGAGTGCAGTTAGTTTGTCACCACAGTGTTTAATAAATAACGTGTCATCTACCTGGCATTACTTATAGCCTTGCCCTTTAATGGCTTGAGAGAATTTTCAAAACCAAGCTCTTGGAAACTGTTTTAATCTATATGAAGATTTATAAACTTTCCCAACTGTTTTTTTGTTTCTCATCCCTTGGGGAATTGTCATATAAACCTCTTCCTCTAAATCATCGTTAAGAAAAGCATTTTTAATATCAAGTTGGTGTAATAGCCAACTAAATTTACGACAAGAGATAAGAGAACATTTACAGTATTAATTTTTGCTACAGGTGCAAAGGTTTTTTGGTAATCTATTTCATAGGTTTGAGTAAATCCCCTAGCTATTAAGCTTGCCTTATATTTGTTTATACTTTCATCAGGATTATATTTCACAGTGAATAACCATTTGCTACTTATCATCGATTTACCTTTTGGCAATGTTAGAATTTTCCAAGTTCCATTTTTATGTAAGGCTCTTAGTTCTTCCTCAATGGCTTGCTTCCAATTAGAGTCTGAGATGGCCTCATTGAGGCTTTTAGGAATTTTCACACTTTCTACATTGGCCACAAAAGTTTTAAGGTGAGGAGAAAGCTTACTATAAGTGAGAGTCGGGAGATGATTTGAAGAAGAAAAAGAATTCTGTATATTCCGTATATTCATCAAAGAACCTTTTACAACCATATATACACTAATTCGGCAAACTAAAAAAGGGAAAGGGAATAAATGAGATACAACGGTAAAGAATCATTCAAGATGCGGAATCAAAATAAAATCAGATCAATGGTCTTTAAGATAGGGAGATGATTTCGGGATTTTTACACTCCCCCTCAAGTTGGATCATAGATGTCAATCATGTCCAACTTGCCCACAAAATCTTCAAATTTGTCTTTATGTAGGCCTTTGGTAAAGATATCTGCCGTTTGTTTCCATGTAGGTACATGTATGAGGGTTACCAACCCATTGTCGATCTTTTCTCTAATGAAATGTCTATCCACTTCGACATGCTTGGTCCTGTCATGTTGTACCGGATTATGGGATAGGTTTATAGCAGCCATACTGTCTGTGAATAGTTTCATAGGGAACTCCATTTTTATCTTAAGTTCCTCTAGAACCCTTTTTATCCAAATTACTTCACATATCCCTTGTGCAACAGCTCGGTATTCTGACTCTGCACTACTTCGTGATACTACGTTCTGTTTCTTGCTTCTCCAGGTGACTAGGTTTCCCCAGACATAGGCACAATAACCTGCCGTGGATCTTCTATCGTTATGAGCACCTGCGTAGTCGGCATCAGTGAATATTTCAACACTTTGCTTCTTGCATTTTTTGTATAATATTCCCTTGCCTGGTGTACTCTTTAGATATTTTAGAATTTTGTAAACTGCCTTGAGGTGTTTTTCCTTTGGAGCATGTGAGTGTTGGCTAGCTACACTGACCGCAAATGCAATGTCTGGTCTTGTGTGAGAGAGATAAATGAGCTTTCCCACTAACCTTTGGTATTGACCCATATCAACATCATTTCCTTCACTTTCTTTTTCTTCTTCCTCTTCATCTTTACCTTCACCTTCTTCATCACTGTTGTTGGCTTCTTGCTTGTTTTTGGATTCATCTTTCTTTTTCTTCTTGGTTGTGACTTCAATAGGGGTAGAACTGGGTTTGCATCCTAGCATGCCAGTTTGAGTAGATCTAATACGTACTTGCGTTGAGAGATATAGATCCCCCTTTTTGATCGAGCCACCTCCATTCCTAGGAAGTATTTCATCTCTCCTAAGTCCTTCACCTGAAATTCTTGTGCCATGGCTACTTTTATCCTCTCAATTTCTTCTGAGTCATCTCCAGTGAGGACTATGTCATCCACGTACACACTCAGAATAGTTTTCTTGTCTCCTCTATGTTTGAAGAACAGAGTATGATCACTTTGCCCTTGTATGTACCCTTCTCTCCTTAGGACTTGGGTGAATCGTTCGAACCAAGCACGTGGTGATTGCTTTAGGCCATACAATGATTTCTTCAACCTGCACACTGTGTTAGGCTTCCTGTTTGGGAAACCTGGTGGAGTTGTCATGTAGACTTCTTCCTTTAGATCGCCATTTAAGAATGCATTTTTGACATCTAACTGGTAGATAGGCCAGTCTAGGTTTGTTGCGAGTGACATCAAGATTCTGACGGTGTTTAATTTTGCAACTGGTGCGAATGTCTCAGTGTAGTCTGTGCCGTAGATTTGAGAGAAACCCTTCGCCACAAGTCTTGCTTTGTATTTTTCGACAGTTCCATCAGCTTTGTATTTTACTGTGAATACCCATTTGCACCCCACAGCTTTCTTTCCTTTTGGTAACGTAGCTTCCTCCCATGTACCGTTTTTCTTTAGTGCATTCATTTCTTCCAAGACAGCTTCCTTCCACTTTGGAGACATTAGGGCTTCTCCGATATTTGTTGGTACTTTTATACTATCCAGATTGCTGATAAATGCTCCATAATGGGGTGATAGGGCTTTGTAGGAGATATAGTTCGCAATTGGGTGTTGGGTGCAGCTTCTTGGCTTTTTCCTCAAAGCTATTGGAAGGTCCAAGTCTATTCCTGTCTCATCTGCATCACTTACCCCAAGCTCATTAAATTCCTTGGGCTGCGGAACCGTCAACGGATCAGATTCTTGGTGATGCTCAGGAGTTTTTGGCCTATTGCTTTTGGTTCGTTTGCTGTAAAACTTGTTGATGTTTTTAATTCTTGTTTTGTTTCCAATTTGTTGTTCCCCATCGTCTTGAGTTATTGTCTCACTCTCTTTGGGTTGCTCTTCGGTTTCAGTGGTTTTAAGGAGAAAAGGAGGTTCATACTCCAAGTAAGGTTGGATAGGACTTTCGTTGTCGTTTTCAGAAGGTTCACACTCCAAGTAGGCTTTCTCTTTTCTAGACTGCAATTCTTTTTCACTCTCCCCCTGAATTGTGGTCGGATAGAAAGGTTCTGTTTCATGAAAGGTGACATCACAAGTGACATATAATTGTTTGTTGTTAGGGTTGTAGCATTTGTAGCCTTTATGGGTTGGTGAGTAGCCTAGGAAGACACATTTGATAGCCCGTGGGTCTAGTTTGCCTTGGTTGTGAAGGTGAACGAACACAGTGCAACCGAAAACTCTAAGAGGAAGATTGTTATGAAGGTAAGGGACATAGTGGGTCTTTTGCAAAACTTCAAGAGGTGTTTGAAAGGATAAGGGTCTACTTGGCATTCGATTGATGAGGAAAGTAGCTGTAAGAA